AGTGCAATATTAGAACTAACACTAGACCGAGAACTAGAAATATTCGCATGTCTCTCAAGACATTGTGTTAGTTCTAGTTTTAGTTCAATAAAACTATGCAACATAGTGATATCTTATGTTAACTAGCGCTACCTACCATTGTCACTACAATCAATATTAGATCTAGAACTAGAAACATTTAGGTTTAGCCGTCTTAAGTAAGTAATTAATTTTTCTTACTTATTGAGGCTAATTTGTCCTTTCAGCAGTTTTACTAATATAACAAGGATGCAAAGTCACATAGATAGAATCCACCTCGGGTTATTCTCTAGTTACTCTATTCCATGTACATAGATAAACTCGGGGTATTCCCCGAGTTGTCTATACGGTATATAAATTAAGGACGGTAGTTCTAGTTTTAATTGTTCTAATTTTAAAAGCTTTAAATGTTATTAGTTTTATTACACAATTATTACACAACAGTTGTAAAAATTGCAATTAGCTTTGTTAGTTGGGACTGCACTACTTGCACTAAGCAGTTTAGTGCAGATGTTGTGTGTTCGTTGGGAAAAGTGCAGTTGCACTCATATTGTTCGTTAGGCCAATTTCGTGCAGCCGGCGCAAGTTAGTGCAAATTTTGTTGAACCTGCTTTCGGTTAAGTTCAACAAGTGCAGTATAATTCAGTGTAACTAAAACGGCGGAATATTTGGAAGCGTGTTTTGTAATAAATGAAGATGGAGATACAATCATCGAAAAGAATTGTTTTTTATATTAATATATTATTAATATTAAATATTAAGAAATAAAACCTTATAATAATTAATATTTGTTGTATTAGAGAAGACAGTGCATTCAATGCCAGTAGAGCCAGTAGAAAATGGATAAGAATGTTATAGTTTTGAAGATAATACGATTAAGAAATAATGAAATAAAAATGTGGAATTTGATAAGCAATAAAATGAAGAGGTAAGGGGACATTGCATCTCCTCTCCAAGTAGAGAACAAGTGGAAGAGTCTTGAAAGAGGCTATAAAAACAACATCAAAGAAAACTTGAAGAGGTGGAAGAACCTGTCGGTACGAAAGGGAATTATAGGATATTTTAGCAAAGCGTCACTCTATACAACCCATTTGTATCTTAGGGAGCTCGACAATGGAGAATATCGATGATATGGGAAAAAAGCGATTGTGCAACAGAAAAATACATAGAAGATGAACCAATTTCGGTTCCTAAAGCCGAAAGATGCTTTACACCAACAGTAACAGAACCTCCAATCAATTTAACCGACCTAGTGGTGATTCAAGAAATACAACCTCCATCCCAGAACAGAAATCGGGATCGCACCACGGCTGGAGAATTAAGTAAATTAAGACAATTGCAAGTGTTTAAATTTAAAAAGGAAAATGAGGAAAGAAAATTTAAACAAAGGCAGGAATTAATCGAAGAAATGAAAACTATTTCGCTGACAATCTTCTGTTCCTCCATTTCAAATATTATACACTTTCTTGATAGAAACCTGTTCGTTGCGACCACGCTTTACATACTTTCCTAACCTGCACTCCGTTGACATAACCTTGTACTTAATTGCACTATGATGTCATACTAGTGCCATGTTGTGCAGAGTAGGGAAGACCCAACAAACATTCTTAATTGGAAAGTTAATTTTAAGGATATCTATGAAACTAAAACACTTTTGCTACAATTGTTTTAAGTAATTAGTCATTATGTGTCATGAGGTCATGTAAATCCCCAAGTTTATGAGGTCATGTATTGTTTACAGCAATACAGAACGGAAAAGTACATGGAAGCCTGTGACAAAATAAACCTGTGTAAAGGAAGAAACTATTGGCACGAAATTCGAAAACTATCAAGATACCAAAAGACACCTGGAACGGAGGAGCTCATTGATCCTACCGATGGCGGTGTGCACTCCAACCCTGAAGAGATTGTCAACATACACGCTGACTACCTGGAAGGTGTATTCACCTTTACCGAGGATGTTTCGTTTTGTCCCCCCAATAAAAATCTTATAGATAATTGGTACGAATCCGCATTTTTGACACTGTTCGAGACACCCGAAGATGCTCTCGGTTATGATAACATCACAAGGAAACTGCTGAGAAGTCTAGATCTTAACATCCATGGCTTTATCAGAAAAATAATTAACTTTTGCCTTACGACTCAGCATTTCCCGCGCGACTGGAAGACGTCAATTATAACTTGTATTTCCAAGAAGGATTCTTCTCTATCTGATCCAGCCAATTATCGCCCCATCTCACTGCTCCCCGTAATTGGAAAACTCTTCGAGACGCACTTGAAGAACAAGCTGCTGGCTGCGGTATCAAAGAAAATTCCGCCTTACCAATTTGGCTTCCAATCCGGCAAATCAACGTCCCAGCCACTAACTATTCTGGTTTCCAACTTCCAGGCGGCACGTTTTGTAAAACTGAAATCTGCAGCAGTGTTTCTGGAAGTGCGAAAGGCCTTTGACTCCGTGTGGCACAAAGGATTGCTATTTAAACTGGATAAGCTAAAAACGCCATACTACCTTCTAACCCTGATAAACCAATTCCTGTCGAATCGCTCCTCCATCGTGAAGTTGAAAAATCACTTCTCCCACAGCTTCTCCGCTCAGCAAGGCCTTCCTCAGGGTTCGCCTATCTCTCCGTCTCTATACAATCTATTCTGCCACGATCTTTACAACGACAACCCAGACGCCTTTAACCTACTTTATGCCGACGACACAGCATTGGTCTCGCACAGTAGGGATATCACTTCCTCGGTCCGTAAGCTGCAGACGCTCATAAACGAAACGGAAAATTGGTACCGAAAATGGCGCATCCTACTCAATCCCACAAAAGCACAATTTTTTGTCCCATTCCTCTCACCCCGCGCTCCCTCTCCCACAATTACAATNCCTGTTACAATAACATCTGCTTGCAAAGTCAAAATTGGGACCTAGTAAAGTGTCACTTTACGCTGTGTCAATCTGACACGTGAAGTCCGGATTAAGGATTCTTTTTTTTCTGGCTACTAGGTAAGAATTATGGCAAAAACAAAAATGGAAATTTAAAATAAATATGAATTCGTTCACTGAGCCAAAATATCTAGTTGATTCGACCGTAAATAACAAAAATATCATCAATTAATTTTGAAAATTGTATCAATTTGACACAAAGTCCGGGTCCATCCCAGAACAGAAATCGTGATCGCACCACGACTGGAGAATTAAGTAAATTAAGACAATTGCAAGAAGAAATGTTTAAATTTAAAAAGGAAAATGAGGAAAGAAAATTTAAACAAAGGCAGGAGTTAATCGAAGAAATGAAAACTATTTCGCTGACAATCTCCTGTTCGTCAATTTCAAATATTATACACTTGATAAAAACCTGTTCGTTGCAACCACGCTTTACACACTTTTCTAACCTGCACTCAGTTGACATAACCTTGCACTTACTTACACTTAATTGCACTATGACGTCATACTAGTGCCATGTTGTGCAGAGTAGGGAATTCGAAAGTTAATTTTAAGGATATTTTGGAAACTAACACACTTTTGCTACAATTTTTTTAACCAATTAGTCATTATGTGTCATGAGGTCATGTAAATCCTCAAGTTTATGCGTATAGGTTAAGAATCACCTGCATTAGTCTACAATGACGGCGTAACCATTCAAATGGTTATCTGTAACTATTGCGGAGAAGATCCACACGCAAACTATCTTAATCTCTAAATCAAGCCCATAAATCCGTGCCAGCAATTAGCGCAGAATTGTACTGAGTCTACGGTTCATGAATTGATTATACCGTCGACAGGCTGCAGTGCAACGCTTGATCCTACTCGTAAATTTTGCAAATTCATTTGCTAGATACGAATCGCATTGTCCGCGTCCCAACTGAATTTACGCACCATTCGAAGAAAGGGGAGCCAAACCGCCCTTCAGCGATAAACCCAACCGATACCGATCAATTGGCTCCATCACGCTCGATTCGGTTCAAAAAATTGCTGTAAATCTCGAATTTTCTATTATGGCCAGATCGCTCGAGCGAGGCGGAAATGAAATGAACCGTGAAACGGCTTGGCAAAAAATTTCAAAAACCATGTTTTCTAAGAAAATAAATTTTTATCAAAATATTACATCGAACAAATTTTTTTCATTTTCGTCCTAAATCACGTGAAACCGAGCGACATTTACAGGCAATAAAGTAACAAACCGCGCGTCCCTTATACGGTTATTACTCGGAAAAGGGGGGCAAACTCGCTGACACCATCAGCTTCGATTTCCCAAAGATTTCAAGCACTTTTGTCACGCGCCTTCTTCCTTTCCCCACCTTTTATCCTTGAACCTTACTTGTTCGTTCCGATAAATATCCGTTTTACTTTACGTCTACTTTGACCAAATCCACTTTGATGATGTCTTTAAAGAGGGGGCGGGTTGTGGTCGATAATGTTCGAAACACACCGCAAACCCCATCAATCAAAGTGTTTGAGGGGAATATTGGTCGATTATAATTAATGTTGAGAAACCACTCTCTCAATTTGAATTGGTCGATCTCAATCAACTTTTTTTCAAGTTTATGTTGATTCAATTGATGGGATTTAATAAACACATCCTGCTGTGTAACTATCTCAGCAAACAATGTAGTAAGGTGATGGAGGCGTTGATGTATTCAACCCAATTTCCCCAATGACGTCGTAATAGTTAGCGAACTGTGATTAATCCATTAGGTTGACGGGAGGATGAAAATCCTAGCCGGTTCAGAAACCAACGGACAGTTTAATTATGATTTCGATTTTCCAATACGTAATTTAATGAGCCAAAAAGAAATTCATTCCAAAAAAGAACTACAAGAAAATTCAAAGTCCCAATACAAAAAGTACCAAAAAAAAGTAAAAGACGTAGGGCGAGTTCCGTAACCTGTTGTTGTCAGACGCAGGTGGCGCTCCTATCGTTGCACTAAATCTTCCCTCCACCCCATCCATGGGGAGAAAGAACAAAAAAAATGGCCGATTCACTTACCATTATTTCATGTTATTTTCCGTTACAGCTTAAAATGCGTCCGCGGGGGCGAAAACTTGTCCCGACACGTCGCCGTCATGTCGCGGTAGATGTCGCTCTCTTTTGCGTGTATCACCCAAGCGCGGGGGGAGTTGCGGCCTATCGATTCGCGCCACTCACCCTCTCTGTTTGAGCGTTCTTCGAAAAGCCCTCGGCGATTCGAACGCCGTGTCAACAACCACGGGCCGGAGGCGCAAAAGTTCGTCGGGTCGTCGCGACGCTACCGTCCCGCAGGGCTTGTGCCGACTGGCTTACGGCCCGTCCGCAGCGGAACTCCCTTCCGGAATCAACGGAAACATGCGCAAACATGCGCTAAAGCTTCCGTCGTGTACTCGCCGTACATTCATACAAAAACTGCAAAAACAAAAAAGATATTAAACGATATTAAATTCAATTTGGAACAAACAAGAAAATTAAACTTATATATACCTATATATTAACTATAAATTTAGTTTCAGCAAAATTATTAATTCGTATTCTCACCCTATTAATTTATAAAGCATAAATTATTAATAAAACGTTAAAATTTATCTAAAAAAAAAGTGAATTATTAATTTTTTATAGTTGGTAAACTTAAATTTGAACAAACCTTTATTATTTATCTAAAGATGGCAGCACCAAATTCGTATGAGTCAATTACAGGATCCTGTAACGTAAAACTAGTTCAGTTAAGTACTAATAGAGGTCTCTACTTTTTAATTTCGTTGTTTCAATCCCTGATGATGTTCTTGGAGAAGCTAAAAATATGCAAATTAAACCATATGACTTATTTATTGTATATGAAAGTCTTTGGCATTCATATAAAAACTTGAACCATTTAGTTAGGATTTTTTGATAGAATTTCGAGTGCTGCCTAATACAATGTTGGGGGTTATAAGCGAATATATTGAGAGATATTTGGGGCTATAATACTAAGTGATATCAAGAATGGTGATTTTCATTGAGTAGAGAAGGTTATGGGATTTAAGAGTCATCTGTAAACATGTAATCAGAACTAAGCTCTTGTATGTTTTATAACCACGTCCTCGAGCATTGCGAATCGCGAAATCGATATTAGAATAACGTCTCAATTGATTTAGGGAGATGGGATCTGATCTCAACCTTATCTAACATTCCTTCATACTATAATTGACATTACAAAAAAAAACTTCACAGTATAATTAATGTTTGTAAACAAAACTAACCTTACCTAACATTTAATATATCAATTTTAACAATATATATCCTAACAATAATATATCAAATCGATTTTTTTAAATCGCCAATAATTTTCAATTAAGAAAGTTAGGTTATGTTTTCTGTCAAACTACATTTCCTAATTTAAGGGGAAAAATCGTTTACTGGAATCTATACTCACTTTAAACACATACTTTGGGAGTCCAAAAATGTATTTTGATGTTTTTTTCGCTTCATTTGAACTTATTTTTTTAATAAAACTCGATAATATTAGCAAGAAGTAAATCGACGGTTTTAAAATGTCAAATATGATTTAACATAGCTGATTACCGCTAGATGGAGTGAGTGTAAAAAGGGATCTTTTTTATTTAAGTTTGCTTATTTAAAATTTTTAAATAAAAATTATAAATTATAGTGATTTTAAATTAATTACGTACCATTTGCTTCGTTTAATAAATCAAATCGATTTTCTTAAATCTCCAACAATTTTCAATTCCCTTAAAAAAGTTAGGTTATATTTTCATCAAACTCATTAAAGTAATTTAAAGGGAAAAAATAACTTACTGGAATCTATATGCACTTTAAATTAACATTTTGGGAGTCTAAAAATGTATTTTGATGTTTTTTTCGGTTCATTTAAACTTATTTTTTTAATAAAACTCGATAATATTGGGAAGAAGTGAATCGGTGGTTTTAAAATGTCAAATATCATTTAACGTAACTGAATAACGTTAGATGGCGTGAGTGTAAAAAGGTATCTTTTTTATTTAAGTTTGCTTATTTAAAACTTTTAAATAAAAATTATAAATTACGGGGTAATTAATGATTTTAAATTAATTACTTACCATTTTTTTTGTTTAATAGATCAAATCGATTTTTTGAATCTCTAATAATTTTCAATTATGAAAGTTAGGTTACGTTTTCTGTCAAACTACATTCCCTAATTTAAAAAGAAAAATCGCTTAATCGAATCCACACTCACCTTAAACACATACTTTGGGAGTCCAAAAACGTATTTTGATGTTTTTTTCGCTTCATTTGAACTTATTTTTTTAATAAAACTCGATAATATTAGTAAGTAAATCGACGGTTTTAAAACGTCAAATAGCATTTAACGTAGGTGATCAACGCTAGATGGCGCAAGTGTAAAAAAAGGGTTTTTTATGATTTAAATAAAAATTAAATGTAAAAATTTGAAATTTTCTCCTAAACAAAGATTAATTTTCTTTCCTTTTATTTTCAAACAATATAATTTATTGAATCAAAGTTTTTTAGAAGAAAATTAAAAAATTGACGCTAGATGGGGTTGAGCGAAATGTCAAAAATAACATTTAAATGTCAAATTTTAATTTTCGTCTAAATGAAGATTAATTATCTTGTGTTATCTTAAAAGAATCATCTACTAATTCAATTTAAAGCTTAAAGTATGTGCTATGTTATACAGCGTTAGATTGTTGTACACCCGTTGCCGTTGTGTTATTTAAATTATTTATTATTTGTATGACTTCAATTTCATCAGTTAAGTATAATGAGAAAATGTGGGCCACTGACGGTTGATAGTGAATATTTAGGTAGTGACCAACATTGTTATCAATATTTTGACAAATTTTTATAAAATAGTTATTTATTTCCGTCAGAATATTGCTCATTTGTAGCTTCAAAGTCTACTGGCTTTATACTACTTGTGGTAGCTTTACTTTGAAGGCGATTTATTAGTAGTTTCAATTAGTAGTTTCTTTATCAATTTTTTTATGCTTGTGGCTTTCGTACATTTGCCTTTTTATTGCTGATAGTGTTCTTATTTCTTGTGTAATCCACTTATTTTGCTTTTCACTAACGAATGAAGCAGTGTGTTGACTTGCATTCAAGTGCAAGCTTTTTAATCTGTGTAACTACTCCAGAATGTAGTCTCATCATTGCAGCAGCCCCGTCAGAACGTACACCTACACACAATTTGACGTCCCAGCAAATATTATTGACTACTAGTGCGTCTTCAGCTACTCGTCCAGTATCTTATTCAGAAACTTTGCTAGTGCCAAGACCTAGAAGAATTTGCCATTATAGAAGCAGAAGAACAAATTTCCGAGTTATCGATCAGCGAAATACTAGAAGGATGGAAGCTATTAGCTCAAAGCACATATATTTCAGTGTATCATAATCGCCAGAAGAACTGTCACAGTATTTTTCAACCAAAGAAGGTCTTTCATTCTGCAATAATGTTGATAATTTGATGCTGAATTTGTCAAAAACTCAAGCAGAAATACTAGGATCTACTAATTCTTCAAGGATGGAAGCTATTAGCTCCAAGCACACATATTTCAGTGTATCATAATCGCCAGAAAGAACTGTCGCAATTTGATGCTGACCAACATTAGATCATCAACATAACCCAGAGCGTCTTTTTGTCCACCCTGGCTGGCCACGCAGTCCATATGACAGAAATTTATGACAATATGATTCGTCTTCTTGACAAAATTCTTTACAAAGTGTACAAATAGCATATCGGTGTTGACATCAAAGTTGTAGCAATTCTATTTGGTTTACTATTTCCTTACTGAGTGGGACTATAGAGGGCTATATATTCATGAACAAAAGAATATACTTGGAATAATGGAACTTAATGAAACATTTTTACCCCCATTACACATAAAATTAGATTTAATGAAAAATTTCGTCAACAACAATTTCCCAATATTTCAAATGCAAAATTTAAAGGACCCCTAAATTAAACGTCTACAAGATACACAATTTGAAGAGACTTTAAATGGGTTATCAGCTTAGGAAAAACGATAGGAAGATAATTTTATGTTTGCTCTACTTAAGATTGTTGTGAAATATTAAAAATATCATGTCTAAACACTTCAAGAAGTTATCTTTAAGATGAAGATAAAAAGATTTAAAATCCTATAAAAACCGAATCTATTTTTATTCCAAATCAATTCAAATCATGAATCTTGCAATACAGTTACTTTATTTACTTATTTGTACCACTCAAATTTATGGTTGGTACACTTGTGATGATAAAACGTTCTGCAGAAACATCCGGTACAAAGAATTCGGCGAATCTTCGTTTAAACTATTAACCGATCATGCTACAGTAACTCACGATTCCTTATTTCTCGATCTCGTCGATACAAGTCGAAATAAAACGTTTCTATTAACCGTGAATTGTGCGTTCGAACAAATTCATCGCTTCAATATTCAAGATCCAGAAAAGAGGAGGTTTAATCCAAAAGAATCTTTGCAAGAATTTCAATTTAAGGAGAATGGTAATTATATAATTGCAAATGATCGCATAATCACTTATTGTGGTCCAAGTACAACTACTTTATACGCGGATCCATTTCGAATTGAGGTTTATATATACGATACCTTAATAGCAACTGCTAATAATGATGGAAAATTAGTAATAAACACCGATGATGACGATGAATCGATTTCAATGGACTTTGAGTTTATGGAAACTGAACGAGTTTATGGGATTCCGTTACACGCGGAAAGATTGTCTTTGAGAAATACGGGACCTGGAGGAACCATCCCGTATCGTTTATACAACGTTGATCATTGTTGTTACGCCGTTGATTCGCAAGAACCACTTTACGGCTCAGTCCCTGTTTTATACGCTCATGGAAGGCGAAGAACAACCGGTTTATTTTGGTTAAATTCGGCCCAAAGTTTCGTTGACATTCAAAATAATCCGGATACCACCAAAACTTTTTTTATTAGCGAAAGCGGCGAAATGGATTTTTACGTTTTAATCGGACCAACATTAGAAGAAGCAACTAGACAATATACTTTGTTAACGGGAAGTGCTAATTTACCACCACAATTTTCTTTGGGCCACCACCAAAGTCGTTATAGTTATATGTCTCAATACGATTTATTAAGTGTCGTTAAAAATTTCGATGAACACGATTTTCCCGTTGATGTTTTATGGTTAGACATTGATTACACGGATAATTTTAAATATTTCACGTGGAATTTCGACGCGTTCCCCAACCCCGTAGAAATGCAACAAACTTTAAACTCAACCGGACGGAAATTGGTCGTTATTATTGATCCCCATGTTAAAGTTGAGGAGGGTTATTTCGTTTATGATCAAGGTATGGAAAATGGATATTTCGTTCATAACCCGGATGGAAGTGTTTTTACGGGGCAATGTTGGCCTGGGTTGAGTACTTACATTGATTTTAAAAATCCGCACGCTCAAAAATGGTATTCGAACTTATTCGATTTTGATTATTTTCCAAGTTCTACGGAAAATATGTTTATTTGGAACGATATGAACGAACCGGTTGTTTTTGATCAAGATGAAGAAACAATGCCGAATTATCTCGTTCATTACGATAATTGGCTTCATAGAGATTTACATAATATGTATGGATTCCTTCAAACTTTAGGAACTTGGACTGGGTTAATGGATAGATCGTTAAATACGCGCAGACCGTTCGTTTTAACTCGGTCCCATTTCGCTGGAAGTCAACGTTACGCTGCGATTTGGACGGGGGATAATTTACCAACATGGGAGCATTTAAGGGTTAGTTTTCCAATGTGTTTGACGGAAGCTTTAGCTGGGATTAGTAATTGCGGGGCGGATGTTGGAGGATTTGTTGGAAACGTGGAAACGGAGTTATTACAGCGATGGTATCAAGCTGGGGCGTGGTTACCGTTTTTTAGGCAACATTCCACTAAAGACAGCGATAGAAGAGAACCTTATTTATTCCCAGATGATGTACAAGCAACTATAAGGAAAGCTTTAAGGGAAAGATATGCCCATTTACAATATTGGTACACGACGTTTTTTGAACATGAATTATTTGGTTATCCAGTTATACGCCCAATTTCTTATTACTTCAACAATGATATAAACACTTTAGATATGGATGATCAATGGTTAGTTGGAAAAAATATTTTAATACATCCAGTAGCTGAACCACAAACTTCTTCAATAAACGTTTATTTCCCAGGTGGAATAGAAACCTTTTGGTACAGTGTAGAAAAAAATTTGATGTATTTTGGAGTAGGAAATGTTCAAGTTGAAACACCAATCGATTACACCCCCTATTTTTATAGAGGTGGAAGTATAATAACAAGAAAAAACACCCTTAGAAGATCATCAATTGACATGCAAAACGACCCCTACAACATTTATGTATTCTTAGATAACAACAATGAAGCTGAAGGCACTTTATATGTTGATGATAACATTTCATTCGATTACAAAAACAATAAATCATTCCTATATTACCAATTATCATACATAAATGGCATGTTAAATATGTACACCCTCGATGAAGACTCCCACTTTGAAGATAAAGCCTTCATCGAATCTATTCTTGTCTATCGCAACCCAAATCAATTTGAAGAAGGTACTAAATACATCAAATTAAGTACTGATAATGTTTTGATTAAAAACAATCTTAATTTGAAATTAAAATCTGGATTACAGATTAAATTATTGTAAAATTAAACGAGAAATAAATTATTTGTTAATACTATTGTAATATTCCTCTTCTAAATCGTACAAGTCTGCTGCTATATCATCCCGAAGTGACATTAATTTTTGATCACACTCAGTTTGTTTGGTCCTAAAAACAAATTAATACATTTATTGTTAAATAATTTATAAAATTTACCTAAATAATTTTGAATTTTGTGCAATAGCCTCATTAACCGATGGGAAATCGTTCAAAATCAAGTATTGCTTAATATCCGAGACGAGTTTCATTAAAGATTCTCCAGCACGAACGATATTAGCAGCCCTAACATGCATTTCATAAGTATCTTGTTCGCATTGAGTCATCCTCGATAATTGTGTATCATGTTCTCCTTTTGCTAACTTTATCGTTTCTAAAAATCAAATTTATTTATAAGATAACCTTAATTGAGGTTATGTTTACTAACCTTCAAAATTCTCCAACATACTTTTCACATCATCTTTTAAACGAGTTCTATAAGATTTTAAAAGAGCCTCTTTACTTTGTGGTAGAGCCCGAGAAGACATTGCGGTTAATAATATTATATATTCTTGTAAATTAATATTTGACAATCAAGCTTTTTTTTACAATAACAAACATGAAGTTGGATAATGTTGTATATAGACAGTGTTGCCATCTTTTAAACAATATCGAAAGTTATTTCACCATATCCGCATCATTTTTGGTTTTAAATTATTAAAATCAATTAATTTTTATAAATTATCGCTTTAAATTAATATTAAAGGTAACGAAAGATTATGATTGAAATGTAATTTTTACGTTGTCATGTCTTATAGGTTAGAAATGTCATTTTTAATACCACTTTTAATGTTATTTCATCATTTAAAAAGTTAAATTTATTATTTGATAGCTTCGAAATACCTTTTTAAATTCACTATATCGATTTTTACTATAAAAATTTTATTTTAGAAGCGAAATGTTACTTTTTAAAAACTAAATGTCATTTTGACATTGATTGTCATAATTAAATGTTGGAAATGTCAATGTCATAAATGTTCTGTTTTGTGTATTTCTTGTCTTTGGGCGATATCTATCTGAAACCTATAAAAGAAACAAGGAGGTCTATCATTTGCTAATACATATCTCTTACTATTGATATTAGAATAGGCCACAACTATATTTTTATTTATTTCTTATTTTTATTCTAAAAAACTTTGATTCAATAAATTATATTGTTTGAAAATAAAAGGAAAGAAAATTAATCTTTGTTTAGGTGAAAATTTCAAATTATTACATTTAATTTTATTTAAATCTTAAAAAAACTTTTTTTTTACACTCACGCCATCTAGCGTTAATCACCTACGTTAAATCATATTTGACGTTTTAAAACCGTCGATTTAGTTCTTGCTAATATTATTGAGTTTTATTAAAAAAATAAGTTCAAATGAAGCGAAAAACACATCTAAATACGTTTTTGGACTCCCAAAGTATGTGTTTAAAGTGAGTGAAGATTCCAGTAAGCGATTTTTCCCCTTAAATTAGGGAATGTAATTTGATAGAAAAGATAACCTAACTTTCTTAATTGGAAATTATTGGCGATTTAAAAAAATCGATTTGATCTATTAAACGAAAAAAATGGTAAGTAATTAATTTAAAATCATTAATTAACCCCGTAATTTATAATATTTATTTAAAAATTTTAAATCAGAAAATTAAATAAAAAGGATCTCTTTTTACACTCTCTCCATCTAGCGTTAATCAGGTACATTAAATTATATGTCATATTTGACGTTTTAAAACCAGCGATTCACTTCTTCCCAATATTATCGAGTTTTCTTAAAAAAATAAGTTTAAATGAATCGAAAAAACCATCAAAATACATTTTTAGACTCCCAAAATGTTAATTTAAAGTGCGTATAGATTCCAGTAAGTTATTTTTTCCCTTTAAATTACTTAATGAGCGTGATCGAAAACATAACCTAACTTTTTTAAGGGAATTGAAAATTGTTGGAGATTTAAGAAAATCGATTTGATTTATTAAATGAAGAAAATGGTAAGCAATTAATTTAAAATCGTTAATTAACCTCGTAATTTAAAATTTTTAAATAAAAATTTTAAATAACTAAACTTAAATAAAAAAGATCCCTTTTTACGATCGCGCCATCTAGTGTTAATCACCAACGTTAAATCATATTTGACATTTCAAACCACCGATTAACTTCTTTCTAATATTACCGAGTTTTATTACAAAAATAAGTTTAAATGATACGAAAAAACCAATTATTACAATTTCCTAAGTGTCAGAAACTGATTTAGTAAGTAATTGACCAGCACTGTTACTATGTAAAACTAACATTAGAACTAGAAACATTCAGGTTTAGCCGTTTTAATAGACGTTCTAGTGCAAATGTAAAACTAGAACTAATACAAGACCTAGAACTAGAATCATTCGAGTTTAGCCACCTTGAGAGACGTGCAGCTAAATCTACTAACACTAGAACTAGAAGTTTTGAGAGATGTGTGGCTTACCTTTTTCCAAGCAAGAGCTCACTGGGGCTAAGTCCTGTAAATTCACCATACAAATTTTTGAAGGGTTAAGAAAGAAGCAAATATAATTTTTCTTAATTATTATTGTTCAAGTCTTGCATATAAATTACTAAGATATATAAACAGATACACTACACATTCAAAAAACATTTAACAATAATTTATTGTACTCATTTTTTTTATTTCTTCATTTTTAAATAGTTCTTAAATTAAATTATTATTTATTTACAATATAGTTGGGCGGCGTTTGACGAATGAACCGATTTCAACCCTTAAAAGACTTCTTCATCCTTGAACTCACATTTAAATTCCTCCATTAAAAAAAAAAACAGTCTTAAAATCCAACTCAGTCCATTATTGTTATTATTTTTTTGCGGATTACATGAGGTAGTCTTAAAATGGCAGTTATTCGTTGCAAAACAAAAAGATTTTTGTGCTCAAACGGATGATTCATCAATAACTGTTATAACCCGGTTCGGGAAAACCTTCCATTTATTATTTTTCGCCCCCAATCCATTTTCTTCTTCAACAACTCCGTTTTCTTCGGATTGACTCCCACCGTTTTTCGGCCTCGCCAAAGACCATCTTCTACCTTTTCTATCAAGTATCACAGGCATTTCCGCAATTAAATTATTTTCAAATTCGCTCAACATCAAATAATTCTCAACTTTGTTACATGAAGTGATACAATCTCCGATGTAATCTAAATCGTCAAGTAAGTTATCGGGTAAATCCATATCCGCAATTCCTTCTTCTGAAATACATGTTAGTTCCGGTTTATCGTTCGAGCAAATTATGTTTTCTATCAAACCACCCGGTTGATGGTTCGGCATTAAATCAGTTCCTAAAACTAAAGCTGCAGCTGCTGCTCCGGCTGTAACTCCTGGTTCGTTATCACCGTCTTGAGTAAAAGATAATTTTCTACGTTGAGGACAATTTTCGGATACGCAAAGATGTTTCGTTCCGTTTTCGCGAGTATGTTTGTGACGGGTTATGTTACGACGGTGTAAATCAATTAGGAACAATGTTAAACTTCCTACTAAGACGCATGTTGAACTAAAATAATAACCAGCTCGATCTCCGCAACGTTCATTCATATAACCTTAAAAGAAACAATAAAATTAAAACTTTTTGTTATTTTCCTGAACAAATCAATTCAGTTATTGGGGCTCGAAACGGAACCTATAAATCTCTAAGAATATATCCGGTCCCTTCTTGCACCGGATATATAAAGTGGGGAAAACTTTGAGATGCGAAGAATCATAAAAACTTATCTCATTTTAATTATAATTTCTTACCTGAAAATGGAACTCCGATAACGATAGGAATTGCTTGAGAACATTGAACGAATCCCCAAGTTCTCGCAAAATTTCTTGCTCTCACTCTTTCATAAGTATACATTTTTAATGAGTAGTGATAACCCCCGCAAAAAATTCCTAAAAAAAATATGCGTTAAAACAAATTAATTGGACCGCGTTATAAATCACTTGACTCAGCGACATTTTATCGTTTTTAGAGAAATTCTAAATTCTTTTCTTAAAGCTAGAACAAGAACTAGAAACATTCGGCTTTAGTCGTAAAAAAAACTTTCAGTTGTCAACTTTAATTTTATTGTTATATTCGTAATCTTCATAAAATAATCTTTAAAATGAGTCCAAACTCGACATATTTAGCTTTAATATTAATGGAGATACAATCACTTCCGGTTTGAAACGTCAACGTCAATTTTGACATATTTGTCATCTTCATTAAAAAACCTTTAAAATGAGTCCAAAGATGACGCACTTATCTCAAAAAACAAAAAAGTTAGAGGTACATCTTC